AATACCTAGAAACCATCTACTTCAAGACAGACCCAAGAAAACCAACAATAGAACACCACTTGTCATCACCTATAGCCCCCAACTTAAACCTGTCCAACACATTATCAATTAAACTACAATCTATACTAGAACAGGATACTATATTCCGAGAGGCTCTGGGAGACAGACCCATAGTCTCCTACAGACAACCACTTAACCTCAGGATGATTCTTACCAACAAACACAGGACATACCACACCAATACCAACCTTGGAACTTTTCCTTGCAACAAACCCCGTTGCCAGTTTTGTCCACATATTTATTCTGCTGACACCATTATTGGACCTAACCAATTTAGTTATAAGATCAAGAACACATATTCCTGCTCATCCAGAAATATAATTTGTCATCATGAGCAGACAGTGTCCGTCTGCTATGTACATTGGACAAATGTCTCAGACGCTTCGTCAAAGAATCACACACAAAACGGATATCCGACAGTATCACAAAGAAAAAACAGTTTCTTGCCATTTCAACCAGAAAGGGCATTGTCTCAATGACTTGATTACCTGCATACTGCTTCAAAGGCATTTTAACACCAGACTTGAAAGAGAAACCTCTGAACTGTCATTCATGTTTAAATTTGACACTTTATGCTGGGGTCTTATCAAAGACGCTAATTATCTTACCCATTACAAAGATAGCTTCCCCAATTATCACCTCTAATATCATTAGCTCACAGACATTTACCTCCCCCCACCATCTCCCCTCTGTTCTGAAATTTGATTTGTCCTTTTTATATGTGTTTTTTTTTATTTTATCCCTTTGGTATATATGGTCATGCCTATTTTCTTCCACAATTTGATCTGAGGAAGTGGGTCTGGCCCATGAAAGCTCATCACCTAATAAACCATCTTGTTAGTCTTTAAAGTGCTACATAGTCCTGTTTTTTGTTCCTTGGACTGTGTGTGCCTGGCTCTGTTGCTGCAAAACTGCCCCTCAGCACAGCTTGCATTCCTTGGGCTGTGTCTTAGCTCTCTCTCCTTGCTCAGAGAGACCCAGAAAATCCCAGCTCACAGGGAGGTCGGGGCCTGGCCTTTCACTTTCCTCACTGGCCTGTCCAACCTGTCAATCAGGCCAAGCTGGAGTGTTGGCTGCTTTCCATTGTCCCTGGGGTCTGTCAGACTCAGGGCCCTGATTTCTCATGGACCCTTCCCCTTTTGATACTGGGAGCTGGCGAACCAAAAACTCCCACAGAGTTTTAGTAAGGGGCTAACAGTCCCCTTACACCTATAAAACTGTGTGTATTCTGTTCCTATTACCATTAGCAGAAAACCCTGGTGAAATCCTGGCCCTTTTGAAGTCAATAGGAATTTTACCATTGAATTCAATGGGGGCCAACAGTAGGAGTAGAAGAGACCTAAGGAAGTCATTTGGCCCCACCCGCTGCTCAAAACAGGACTAACCCAACTAAATCATTCCAGCTTTGTCAAACCCGATCTTAAAGATATCTCAGGATAGAGATTCTTCCACCTCCCTAGACAGTCCATTCCAGTGCTAAGCCCTATGGTGGGTTCCCTGGAGCAAAGGGAACAGCTGCTTAGAAGACAGCCCTGAGACTGCTGCCCAACACAAGGAGCAGCACTGGCCAATGGCCAGGCTGGGGAACCTGTCAGAGGCCCCTGAGGGAGGGTGGAGCTGAAACTGAGAGGAAGGCCTGAGTTATGACTGTCTTTCTGCTTCTTTATGTGCTTTCATTAAGAACCTTGAAAGAGCCAGGGCGTGGCAGTGGAGCTAGTGTGAAGCTTGGCCCCATGACAGGGAGATGTAGGTTAGATATGAGGAAACTTCCTAACTCTCATGGTAGTTAAGCAATGGACTGGGATTCTAAGGAAGATACTACTGTCCCCAGCACTTGGGATTTTTAAGAACAGGTTGGACAAATGCCAGTCAGGGATGCTATAGGTTTACGTGGTCCTGCCCCAGCACAGGGAGCTGGACAAGTTGACTTCTTGAATTTCTTTCCAGCCTTACGTTTCTGTGTTTCTCAAAGTCAATTGATGTGACTGCTACTGAGCTGTGGAAGTGGAAGATACTGTCTTGCAGCTATTAACACAGATAGCAGGTGCCAGGCAATCCCTTTGGCCTATGTGGGAGAACCAACTACATCAACCAAGCTAGTGGTGAATAATCTCTGGCCACGGAGTACTGAGGAATAAACGGCTATTCCAGCAAATGCTTTCCTAAGACAAAGGGAGGATCTGGAAGCAGACTCATACTCAGGGCTTGTCTTCACTATGCTAAGAAGTGAAGCTGCAGTGATTTATCATGTCTGCTTAGACACAATAAATCGATCTCTGAGCGCTCTCCCGTTGATGCCAGTACTCCACCAGGATATGAAGACTAGCTGGCGTTGACAGGAGGGCATCCCCTCACAACTGCACCGCACCCAAGATGCTGCGGTAAGTATGCCAGCTTCAACTACGTGATTTGCACTGCTGAAGTCACATAGATTAGATTGTGTAGACAAGGCCTCAATTAATTCTGTCTGCAAAGCCTCTCCCATTGAACTCACTCCTTTCAGCTCGAAATGTCTGGTGCTCCGAGAGAATGAACTGTTGCAG